AGACCGAACACGTCTTAGATTAGTATTCGCGTTTAATTTAATTGTCTTCAACAAACACTGCCATTATTATTGGCGGAAATATGTTTGGTTTGAGTTATCAATCACTCCCTGCTGATCATCTGCATTTGTAACTTCAGCGACAAGGTCAAATTTTGTTTGGATATCGTATTTTGCATAATAATTAGACGCTCTTAGAGCGTAAAGTCGGGCTAAGTATTTTTGAAAATTGAGAAAGACAGGATATTACATGGGTGTGCGTATTAGGCGAACGAGTTTAAAGGTTTTAAGCACGATAAGATTATGATGTAATATTCCGTCTATATATTAATGTAAATTATCGGCCCCCCATGGCGTGGGATATTTTTTCACTTCTAATACATAGTGAAAGCAAGAATAYGTTACTTTCACTAGTTTTATTATCAATTAATTAATGATGTGCTGTTCAAAATTCTAATTGTTTATTCACACGCTACGATATTCTTTTCTGACGGCGGCTTGCTGCAACGACGTCAAAACGCTAGAAATATCGAGCCAGGAAAAATATCCTGTCTTTCTCAATTTTCCAAAATAGCCCGACTTMACGCTCTAAGAGCGTCTAATTCAAATATGCAAAATTCCGTAAGATTTAAATAAAATTTGACCTAAAAGGTCATGTAAACCACCCCGTTCCATTTCTGTCTAATTGAACAATTTTTAATGCAAAAGAAAACATTCCTTAAGGTGGCTTCCTACAGTTSTTTTTCGACCATACCTCTCATTTTAAATTGGCTTTTTGAAAATCTTGCTATGTCCCGATTTGTTTCGTGTTTGGACCAGTATTAAAACATTGACCAAAGTTTTGTTTGGCATGATATTTAGCTCTATCAACGTTACCTAGGCAACGGAATTTGCATTTTGTCGAACTTTGTTTTTCTCAAATATCTCAAAAAATTGATGAGATCCAGAAAAGCGGTATACATCATCATTAACTTCAAACTATTGCATAACGTTTGGATGTGATTTCTGCAAATTACTAAAAATCGAACAGATGAATTTGTTTTTAACTATTCCAAAACGTTATGCAATAACGTCCAAACTAACTTTGGATCATTGTAACGCAATGTTTTGTTTACTCTGTGCTTGCTTTTCAGACCGGTACGGCGTTTCTTTTATACCGAAATAATTTTATTTTCGAAGACGTTATTTTTGTCTAGGAAAAGTATACCTTACAAAAATACAAATAACACAAATGTGAAACCTTCAAAGTCCTTGAAACTTCGAATGCATAGTCTCCACAAAAAGATCTTGTGAACGATGTAAAGTTTTCTTTTGGCAAATGTTTGTACGCGACGCTACATGACGCCAAAGTTTCTTAAAATTGCATATTTTAGACCATAAAGTTCGTTAAAGCTTAACTCAAAAGCAAAGCTATCAGAAAAAAAAACTACTCAAAACATACTGAATAAAGAAATCGATTCTAGTTTGGAGTAGATACAATATACGTCTC